ATGAGAGAAATACGTTTTAGAGAACTAACTTTTTCAATTTTAAGCTTTGGAAATCAGACCAGTCGGAAAAGTAAATTTTTGCGAGCTCGGTCCAAGATCATGGGCGGCTGATTGTACATGAAATCAACTTTCACATCCCTGTGCACCCCAAATAAGAAAATGTGGCAAGTTAACACCTGGACTAGACTTAGCAAGTTGGGGACTTAGCAACCTTTATATGCAAGAAGGCGAATCAGGGCAGAGAGACCTGCTACTTCCCCGTAACCCTGTAGATATTACATCGCTATACTAGCTTTACCGGCGATTTCACTTATCTGTTTATATCTGTTCAATAATTTTCCGCTCATGCTTTGCAGCAGTGGAGTAAATTTCGGCGTCTGCAACATCGCAAGGCTGACACGCATGCTCATGGACGGCATACGCTGGGAAGACCAACGGTAAGCGTATGCGCAGCATAGCTCATTGTATAACTAGCTCTAATACAATCACTATGTGAAAGAAGCAAGGAGGGGTGCGGCACTAAATAGAAATTTTTTTGTGGATAACAAAAACACCGAAATCATCAGAGACGTACATGAAGAGATGGTTCTCGAAGAAAGCGAACAAACACTTCCTTCTCCGCACGGCTTTCCTTCCGGTTACGTTAAGTGCGAACGTTCTGATAAGCGCAGAGCTGTAATGGATTATCACGGTCATTCTGTTGTTAACGTATCAATACTTCAGGATGCAACAACCAGTCATTTGGCAGCGCCCCTGATTCACCGGGATCGCAGCAGTTCGCTGACTGATAAATATCACAAGTGATTACGCTTTTGTGATGTCTGGAATTGTATTTACCAGTGTTTTCTGCTGCCCTATCTGCTGTACACATGGCACATTTACTTCAACACCTTGATCATTTGCTGCTTTCATCGTCATCCTTTCTAATTTTTACCACGAAGCCTAGCAGTTCCACTTTTCTATTCTGAACCTGTCGCCTTCACGCAAGACCAATTAAGTATTCTAGTGGCAGCCCGGTTCAGTTGATTTGGAGTCCAGTTGTACTGGCGTTTGCCCACACGTCGTGAACAAGAATGCTAGTATTCTGTTTGAGGTCGACGATCCTTGAAATCCGCATGCGAAACTATGTGTAGCTAGTTTGCATCGACCATCACTGTTGCGTGATTGCCTCATTTCTCCATATGTTGCTCAAGTGACTGTTTCCCTATAGATGCCACTTAGTGACGCTGAGCATTAGCCGGTCTTCAGTAAAATAACGAAAATAAAAAACGGAAATATGTTTAACTGAAAAAAACACACATCGGACGGCTCGATTGATTAAATGATTACTGTAACGGGTTCCGATTCGTTATAGTAATTTTTTAATAGATTCGTTTAACCCATAGGTTTTAGGGTACCAATATCAGCCTGCATATCTGGCTCTCAGATTCTCACTTCTGTCTTTGTCAGGACTAAAAATTTTTGACAGTTTTTTGAATGCTGA